ATTGTCCTCCATGTCGTCAAGAAAATTATATTCGGAGGGAGAGGGTTGAGAGGCGTAGGGAAAGCAGGACTCATCGAAGGTGACGTGGCGGGAGATGATGATCTTGTGAGTGGTAAGGTCTAGGCAGCGAAAACCACGCTGGGCTTCTGGGTAACCAAGAAAAATGCACCGAGCAGATCGTGGGGCTAGTTTGTGGGGGGCAGTGGCAGATAGGTTAGGGTAACAGAGACAGCCAAAAACACGAAGATGTGAGTAGGATGAGGGGTGCGATAAAGAACTTCATGTGGGGTGCGATTGTTGAGGGTAGTAGTGGGGAGAAGATTAAAGAGATGAGTAGCCATATGTAATGCCTCGACCCAGAAGTGAGGGGGAAGGTTAGCTTGAAAGAGGAGGGTGCGGACGGTGTTATTTATTGTGCGGATGGTGCGTTCAGCACGGCCATTCTGTTGGCTCGTGTAGGGACAAGAGAAGCAAAAAAGAATGCCTAGAGATTCAAAGAAAGTGGCAAGGGGATTATTTCTATATTCAGTGCCATTGTCACATTGAACAGATTTTATGGTTGTGTTAAATTGATTTTTCACTAGAGCATGGAATTTAATAATGTGAGAGTAAGCATTAGATTTGTGGTGAAGGGGAAAAATCCATAAGTAATGGGAAAAATCATCTAATAAAAACATGTAAAATTTAAAACCAGTTACACTAGGAACAGGAGATTGCCATAAATCACTGTGCATTAATTGAAATGGAAAAGTTGAAATACGACTAGAGGACTAAAAAGGAAGGCGTACATGTTTGCCTAATTGACATGCATGACATAAAAAATCTAATTTTGATTTAGAAAAACTAGCTAAGTAGGACGACACGCCATGGAGAACAGCAGGGCTGGGGTGTCCAAGTCGTCGGTGCCAGGTAGAGAGGTCGACTTGGGCCAAGTTGAGGTGTGCGGTGGAGGGCGCTTGGGAGATGGGGTAGAGAGGTCCGTCACTATTGGATCGATGAATCACGGCTCCCGTCAATTTGTCCTTTACAGAAAAACCACAAGAGTCAAATTCAATGGTGCAATTATTGTCATGAGCAAATTGACGGACAGATATGAGATTATGGATGATATGTGGGGATATTAAAACATTGTTTAGGGTGAGGGGAGGGGATGTGGGAAGGGTGCCCTTACCAAAACCAGTGGTGCTCACTTTAGATCCATTACCTACAATAATATGCGAGGGAGAATTAATGCTTGAAGTAAATACATGAGATAAAGTACCTGGGTCAGAAGTGATGTGATGAGAAGCTCCGGTATCCATGAACCAGTTGGGCTGGGTGAGGGTGAGGTTCTCAAGGCTATGGGCTAGGGCAGTGGGGCTGGGTGGGGTGG